CCCCCCCCCCCCCCCCCCCCCCCGCCGTTCAATCTTCCTGTGCTACACCTTTGATGGCCACAGATTCTTCCTCTGCCGCAAATCCGTTATCGTTATCTCCATGGTGTAATTCATTCTCGTCCGTTTGTTTCGAAATCAGGAATCCCGTTATCTCCATGTTGATTTTTTTTTTTTTTTTTTTGTGGACCATTTCTCGATTTATGCGTGTCATCCTTGCGCAGGGGCCATTTGCTAATCTTCATTCCTGTATCGTTCCAATTTTAACGGATGTCCCGAAGGACTCGTAATTTATTCTCGCCCGTCTATTTGGATTTCAGGACACGGGTTCATATCCCCGAAGGGTATGATCCTGATTTGGTGGATGAGGCATAGATAGGGTCTCGCCGCACGACTCGCGAGACGCCAACATCCTGAATGAATCTGATCACTACGTTGGTCTGGATACGTTCAGAACGATGACATTTTGGCAAGTGGTGCGGTGCAGATCGTCGCATATTACCCCCCGCCCCCCAATAAAACTTAAATGCCAGCTGTGGCAAAAAAAAAAAGGGTAAAAAATGGCGCTGCTCTTTTCCTGCACTCTCTCTCTCTCTCTCGCTTGGGCGCGATGAAAACAGTAATCGATTTCTTTTTTTTTTTTTGGAGAAGGTTTTGCTAATTGTATGAAACCAATCACAAGGGACTTCAGAGAGAAAAAGGGATTTGTTTTTTGACTTTTTTTATAATTTTTGTCACCCGTTGGCGCCAGCTCAGGTGTAAGAAGTCCAGGAGCTTCAGAGAGAACTCCAAGGAGCGAGTAGTGAATGGGAACGTTTTTTTTTTTTTTTTCTTTTTCTTTTTCTTTTTGTTTGTTTCTCCGAATATTGTGCGACGTGTTCCCAGGGAACCAAAACACAAATTAGAAGAAGGTAATAATAATTGCAACGTCACTACAAGATAACTACCCGTCTTCACCCAAATGGAACGCCCGGTCATTATAGCTGTATTTGGTGTAACTTTCGGTCTAGATACAGCTGTAATGACCGGGCGTTCTATTTGGGTGAAGACGGTAGGTCGAAAATAGGTCAAACAACATCTAAAGGAAGAAGCAGCACAAGGAGTTGGTAGAGGCGACGCAGCAGCAGAAGAAGAAAACAAGCAGTCGAAAGAAAAGCACCATTAACAGATGCACGAGCAGAAGGTGATGGCAAAGGAAGAAGAAGAAGAAGAAGAAGAAGAAGAAGAAGAAGGAAGAGGAAGAAGAAGAAGAAGGCGAAGAAAGGATACCAGAAGATCACAGTGTGCAAGAGGAGAAAGCAGCAGCAGCAGCAGAAGAAGAAGAAGAAGAAGAAGAAGAAGAAGAAGAAGAAGAAGAAGAAGCAGAGCCTTAACAGCTACACGTGCAGAAGGCGATGGGAAGGATGAAGTAGAAGCAGGATGAGGTGGTGGAGGAGGAGGAGAAGGAGGGGGAGGAGGAGGAGGAGGAGAGAAGTCGAAGAAAAAGCAGCCTTGACAGCTACACGTGCAGAAGGCGATGGTAGCAGGGGAAGGATGTGGAGGAGGAGGAGGAGGAGAAGAAGAACAAGTAGAAGAAGCCGACCTCTTCTCCTTGTCCACCTATAGTTATCGAAGTGTGCGACCTAACTTGTCACTAGGATGGGCATATGGCTTACCTACCGTCAAATAGCAACAGTTCGTACTCTCTTCCCTCATAATAGGTGCTGTGACGACTTTTTTCGAATCGTACACACATAACGCTTGGCCTTGCTATCCCAATTCTTCTTCCTTCTCGTTCTGCTCCTTTTTCCTTCTCCCGCTCCTCTCCGTCGTCCTCCCTGTTCATCGCCTGCGGATACGAGAAGGAAAGAAAAAATTAGATAGCGAAGGCCAAATGTTATGCGTCAACATTTCCAACAAAGTCGTCACAAGGCCAAGCGTTATGTGTCTACGATTCGAAGAAAGTCGTCACAGCACCTATATTATGAGGGAAGAGTACGCACTGTTGCTACCGGTAGTTGAAGGTAGGTAAGTCATATGCCCCTACAGTCTTCACCCGCATACAACGTACGGTCATTATCACTGTATCTAGACGCAAAGTTGCCCCAAATACAGCTATAATGACGGTACGTTGTATTCGGGGGAAGACTGTAGTGTGCACCTAGTGAGAAATTCGCTTGCACACTTTGATAGCTATAGGTGGAGAAGGAGAAGAGGAGGTCAGCCATGGCTATCTCTATGGCTATCTCTATGGCTATGGCTACAAAAAGACTGGACACACAGCAACTGCACAGGCAAGACCACCATAGCCAATGCTGCTCGAAACGCGTACGATCCCCCAACGCCTTTCGGCCGGTTGCCCACCCACCAGCTCTCTTCAGGGGTTAAAACCGCCCACCCACCAGCTCTCTTCAGGGGTTAAAACCGCCCACCCACCAGCTCTCTTCAGNAACCGCCCACCCACCAGCTCTCTTCAGGGGTTAAAACCGCCCACCCACCAGCTCTCTTCAGCGGTTAAAACCGCCCACCCACCAGCTCTCTTCAGCGGTTAAAACCGCCCACCCACCAGCTCTTTTCAGGGGCTAGTTCGCCGCTTGCAGAAGGAGGAGAGTATAGGCTATGACTGTGTCTATGGCCGCCGCTTGCAGAAGGAGAAGAGTATAGGCTATGGCTATGGCTATGGCTATAGAAAGAATGGCCACACATCGACTGCACAGGCAAGACCACCATAGCCAATGCTGCTCGAAATGCGTATGATCCTCCGGACGCCTTTCGGCCGGTTGCCCACCCACCAGCTCTCTTCAGGGGTTAAAACCGCCGCCGCTAACCCAAAGTCAGTCATGGATTCACGCAGAGCTTTTAGGCAGCTGCAGAGCTCCCATGCCCTCAAATCGAGATAAACTCGCGTTCACAACCTCCTTCCGTCTTCACGCGAATAGAACGCCCAGTCGTTAGTGCAGCTGCATCTGGGCCAACTTTCGGTCAAGGTCCAGCGTAATGACTGGGCGTTCTATTCGGGTAGAGACGGTAGAAGGGAAGAGATTTGGGGTTAGGGTTTCGTTCCCTCATTCAGTCATTGGAGTGCGCAGAGGATGAGGAACGGATTTTTTAAATTGTTTTTGACCTTGGTTTGGTTGGCATACCTCCGATTTTTTGTGCGGTGAGAAAATCAATTTGGGCAAAAGGTATAAAGGGAATTAGAACGATGCAGAGAGAGAAGGATCAATTAGCAAATGGCCCCTGCGCAAGGATGACACGCATAAATCGAGAAATGGTCCATTAAAAAAGAAAAAAAAAAAAAAAAGAGAAAGGGAATGAGATGAGCTGGATTGGCTGGACTCGTTCAGATCATGGAGCCTATAAGGGTCGTGGTGAGAAAATAAATCTGAACAAAATTTGCAAATTTTTAGAAATGAAAAAAGAAAAAAAAAGAAAAAAAAAAGGGAATGATTGCATGCTGATGATGTTCTCACTTTGGACGGCGTTTTACTTCACTTTGACTTTGTGCAGTTTGTTTACATGCTGGCGGTGGGGTCATTTCCTTTCAACTCCTTCTTAGCTGGATTTCTCTCGTGCATTGGCTCCGCAGTCTTAACAGGTAAGTCAATCAATGGCCTCCATCGGATCTCATTTAATCCAAAGATCCTATGCGGAGAGCAATAAGACGGCAAGGTCTGTGCATGCCCATGAGCATATGGGAGAGAGGGAGAGAGAGAGAGAGAGAGAGAGAGAGAGAGAGAGAGAGAGAGAGTCGATGGTGGGCCACGTCCTCCTCCGCCCTTCTTTCCCTTCATTCTGTGTGCGCTCGCTCTCCCGAGAGAGAGAGAGAGAGAGAGAGAGAGAGAGAGAGAGAGAGAGAGAGAGAGAGAGAGAGAGAGAGAGAGAGGAGAGTCCTTGGATCGATTCGTTGAGCAA